CTGCATAGAGATCTTATAGGGCAGCGTAAGGGGAGTGTCTAGGGGTATGCACAGGCTCAGGATTGGTGTGCCTCCAGGCTTGGAGGGTTTGCCCTGTTGATTGGTCAACTGGTTGTTATGGCGCATAGGCCCTCCCAGGGTGGTTGCTATGCTCTGCATGTCATTGCTGTGCACTTGTCCGTAAAGCACCCAGAGCCGTAAAGCATAGCACCACCAGCTAACTTCTGATTGGTTCCTTGCCACAAGGCAGGCACCTAACCTCCTAGTGACCAAGGCAAGGTCAGACAAGCATGTGTTCGGCTGTTATGGCTGCAGAAATGGGGAGCTGGTCCCTTCAGTAGAACCTGTGTCGAGAGACAGAAAAGCTTATGCATCGAGTGTCAAGGAGGAGGCAACTCAGAGCAGATGGGGGTTTAACTTTTTAAAGACATCAAAATGGCTGTTCTTATGATCCTTTTTTTGGCTTCTGGCTACTTGTAGGAGCAGAGGCCACCCAGTGGGAACAGAGTCTGGGGAAGGAAGCAAAAACTGAAAAGTTGCAAATCCAGCCCCAGTGTGGCCCACACAACCTCCCTTCCCCAGTTAATCTTATCACATGGTTGAGGTGCCATCTTGAACGAAGGAAGCAAACCCTGACAAGCAGCAGCCACATGGACTGCAGGCTCCTGGGGGCTGCTGGCCCTGATTCACCTACACACTTACCAGAAGGCTGGGGAAGCCTGTGGCAACCGTGACTGCAGTTGTAAAGTGTGTTATCCTAAGTGTGTAGGGGAGCCCACGTCCCGAGGGAGTACACAACTCCAGCTACTTTAGCTTGTATTCTGATTCAGGGTTCACACATTCCTTCGTGAGATGGCAACAGAGATGAGCTCTGTTGCCAGCTTTCTAATGTGTGTCAGGGCAGGGCACTCACGTAACAGAATAAGAACTTTATTGTGTGTGTGTGTGTGTACTCATACAATGGCTTGAGTGTGAAGGTCAGGGAACCTCAGGTACCTTCTGCCACCACCTCCCATCTGAAAGAACACGGGTTAGAGATGTGGCTTTCCTTGATGCCAGCAACACACACTCAGGTCCTCTGCTTAGATGGCAAGTGCTTTACCCGTTCAGGCTTTTTTCAGTCCCATTAAGAAAAGCACTTGATTCCAAACATCAAATTATCACATGCATATTTTGTCAAGTAACCCAGTTTCCTCTCCCTTTACTAAGTCTGCTGTGACTGTTATACAATTACTTAGATTTCATTTACCTGGTACTCTGTTCAGTGCTGGTGGTAACAGCACACGGAGGAACAGGTGCCAACAAGAAGGGAGAGGGCGGAGCTGGATTCTGAGCATCTAAGCCTGAGGCTTCCTGAGCAGCATGGTTTGAATAATCATAGATGGGCACAGACTGCTCTTACCCCCATCTCCTGCATATGCCAGAGTTAATCCACTCCTCAGTCCAAGGCTAGCTATTCCATGGAGGTTACTGCACACTCCGAACACCCAAGGACTGTGAAAGTCCATCATGTTGTTAAAGAACAGTACACTGCATGAGAAGTGTGAGAGATGACAGTTGCCACTGGATGCTGAACTCCAACAGAAAGAACAAGGCAAAATGGAGGCTGGTTAGTTTCCCGTGATTCACCTCATTTAACATTTATTATAAAAAAATCTAATCTTTTTACAGAAATGATACTTTATAAACAGCAGATTTTACCCAAGTCTACAGAATGTAGGGATTTAAATCCAGGGGCCCAAAACATTGAACAATTTGCTTCATTTTCCAGAAGCAAAACCCATATACACTTTTCCAAATATTCCATAAAGATAAAGTAACAAATGCTAGCCTTCACTGGACGCCAAAAGAAATTGTCTCCATTCAAGGTTGGCCCATTATTTTACTTAGAATGAAAGGTAGAATTTTAGTCTTACTATACAATGTTATTAAGACTGACACATGACAGATAGAAGCACAGACACACCCATTCTAACTCTATACTTTCGTATTTTTAAAATTGCACCATGTCTGTAAGAAATAATGAACATGCAGAAGGCATTCGGGGTTGTTTTTCTCAGCTATGATGTATTTTGTGTTAAATTTAAAACTTGAAAGTGTGAAATTAAGTTCGACCGGAAGCCATCTCAACTCAGTATTTTGGCTCATATAATCTGCGTTAATACTTCCATCTTGATGAAATTGTGCATAATTTTTTAAAGATAAAGAGAATATACTCAAGAAGTCCATTGCAAAAGGTACCTAGTAGACACCTGTCACTGGATGTAGATGCTGCTGAGGGCAAGAGACTGGAGGGGAGCCGTTCTGCACTTTATACTGCTTCAGCACACCACACAGGTACAGACAGAAACAATTACACCCAGGACCTTCTGCAGTAGTTGCTTGTTTACACTGTCTAAATATATGTATTTTTTCCTACAGGATGCATATTAAGTCTTTCTTTCTCTCTCTAATTAGACTCCTTTATTTTCCAGGAAGTAATACAGATGCTAATGTAATATGCAGTCACTGAAAAGGAAGGGAACAGGAAGTTGGAGTCTTAAAGCAGGAATGAAGGACTGAGCGTGTGTGGTGTCACTGCAAATGCTATAGCACAAATACACTGCTACTATCCCATGCTGGTCAGATTTAGTGAGGTGGGTGAGGGTGAATACACCCAATGTGAATGGACCAGCACTACTTGAACATAAAGATGCTGTATTGAAAGTATAAGGAAATAATGTCTAGTCTACAGATAAGTAAGTATTTGGCTATTTTAATGAACCCATCAATATTAATACAATATTTAAATCAAACATGACATCCAAATTATGAAACATGAGCAGAACCATTTCACGATTAAGGAATAACATTGTCTACCTAAGCCGCTTTAGCATACTGCAGCAGACAAATTTGAGCTTCCACATCACTGAGACCCTAAGGATTTCAGGTACCCTTTTTCAACCTGTTTATTAGTAACAGAGAAACACGGTGATAAACAGGCAATTAAAAATGAAAATGCAGCATCAATATTGTCACAGAGATCCACCTTGAGGTCAATGAGGGAAACATGGTGCTTTTTCAAACTAAGGAAATTGAATACCTTATGATTAAAAGTAATTAATTTTTAAAAAGTTGCTATTCTTAGACTAACCTAAATGAAACCTACAAACATTAGACATATGTGTCTCCTTATTTGTAGTTAGATGCAAATGTTATGCAAATAACATTGTAGCATATGCCTAAATTTGGCTTTTTATCCTTTATGCTTGGTTTTTGGGAAGTCTTATGATAATTTGGAAGATTTCATTTTCTTCCTGTAAGATTCTCTTAGGTATTAGGTGACTAACACAGGCAGAGAAGCCAGTGCTAACACAGGTCTCCAATAGGCAGTTGGTATTGTATTACCCAGTGCCTTAGTGTTAGTTAGCTTGGACAGCTACCTCAACATCGCTGCATAAGCAGTAGATACAAAAGACATCTCAGAACTGTGGTATCAAGAGCTACATGGTTTCCAGCAGTAAAACAGCCTAGTGTGGGGAAAGAGGCTTACACCTCATGGCTGATCCTTCCTGGGAATTGCTTCAAGGGGGTAGGAGAATCAGCCAAGGATGCTTGCACTGGAAAACAAGTCATGGGGAAGTACTCTTTTGTTAGGTGAAGGCTAGAACAGCTGAACTGTGTTTTGAATTTCTTTCCCACAAAAAAGGGTGGGATTTTTTTTTTCCTATGAAGCATGGTTGATAATATTGAAACCTCCTTCACATAAATCATTGATACTCAAAACTTCAAGAGATCCCAGCCAACTTTTGAATTGGTCCACGTGATGATTCTACTGAAAACATCAACTCACATTTTTACAAAAGTAAAAATAAGACGACCGTGGCTATACCAGGACCCGTCTGTGAGGTCCCAGAGATAGCTGCCCTGGTCATGCCTGGTTCCCTGAGAACTTGGACGTTCTAATAAGGGCAAGTTTTGTCAAGATGTCTATTTTTAATTTGTTCCTTGCCATCCATAGTGCTTTAGGCAACTTTTGGGCCTTCTATATACTCTTTGTAATACTCCAGTTTCCTCTGTGTAATTCTTTTCTCTGATCACCAGGCATATGTGGTAGCTAGGAGAAGAAGCATTTCTTATACTTCAAAGACTCACTTTCATCTTCCTAGAACAAATCAAAGAAAACCTACTCACCACATTCCACACCACAGTTCTATTTAGAAGATTCTTGACATAGTGTTTTCCAGTTTTGTATAGATGCAGTTAATAGGTTACTAGACAGTTAATGTCTAAAAAGAGGTGGGTTCATAATGCCAGACCCAACAGAGAAAAGCACACTACTGATGTTCATTTCCCCAGAGTGAGCCAGTCCATTTTATTTATTCAGTGGTATGCATGATAATAAAGAGCCAAACACAAAGCTTTCTGTCAAAAGGAGCAAGATATATCCCAGGAGTTAAAAGGCATATATGGGTGTCAGTTAGATGGGGACAGACAGCTACCATCAAAATCATACCAAGAAATCATGTAGATGGAGGGACAACCCACATTTTTATTTAATGCTAAGTTTCTACAGAGTATTTTCCAGTCTAGATCTTGCCCTCTCCTCTTCATCACAGTCTGTCAGTAATTGAGGAGTGTACTCATATAGCTGCACGACAGCAAGGAGAGGTAGATGGTGCGGCTGTCCTCCCACATAGAAACCCCTCAAAGGCTTTAGGGAAAAAACACAAGGTTTTTTGTCATCCAGAGTAATTAGTTTCAGAATACAAAAACTTTTTGGAGCAGAACTCATACAAACATGAGAATCATTATCAGCCCAAAAAGAGAATTAGTAAATTCTGAGAGATACACATGTTCACTGTACCTTACAAAGTGTTCTCAGAGATGTAGAATCGGAGATCATACAGTAGAAAATATTTTATATTTCATATAAAAATTCTTAATGTATTTTAAAAGGCTTTGATCACAGACAAGGAGACAACTTGGAGAATACATATTTTTAGGAACTCTGGCTCCTAATCTCAGCAAATGCCAAATGTTAGTATTCTCCCAGGGGTGTTCGATGTTGCTCAGAGAAAACCAGATGAAGAGTCCAGCAAAATGAGAAAGAAAGTGGGAAGTGAGCCAAGCACAACACACCCTGCTTTAAAACTGGGAGACTATCAATCAAAGCCAATGGTGAACATGACCGAAGGCATTTATGCTGACAAGTCCTCATGGGTTTGGTGATCACTGTCAAATTAGAAAGTGACAGGAAAACACTGTGCAAATAAGTAATGGGCTAAAAGGAGAGGAAAAATACACAGTTCTGAAGATAAAACTTGAAAGGTAAAGTTTCCATAATTGCACAGCTCTCTATCCACCTCAATGCATACTTTTTCTTTCTTTTACAATATGTCAATAATTTAAAGATCAGCTATTCACAAAACCCCAGCACTGACATCTTTTTCCTACTTGATTTAGACAATGGGTTACTCAGATTTTTGGTTACTGTGTGTCATAACTATCAGCCATTTTTCATCTACATAACTTAGGAAAATTCTTTCTCCTTTAAGCCCCGGGACCCTGCTTTCAAACGCTTTTGCTGGGTCTAATCTCTAGGTCAACATTTGTCTAAGCACGTCTGCAAACGTTCTGTCACAGGCAGCGGAAGAGTATTGAGCAAACTGTCCTCAACAATCAGACAGCTCCGTTTCAGGGCCTGACACCCTTCCAGCTCTGGAGGCAGTGTCTCCAGGTAATTCCCAGTGAGTTCCAGGTGGGTGAGGTTTGACAGCTCCCCCACCAGAGGGGACAGATATGTTAGGCTGTTTTTTCCCAAAAGCAGACACTGAAGCTTCTTGCACTGGAACAGCCCGTCTGGCAGCATCTCGATCTACAAGGAGAAAGGAAGCAGGTGAAACCAGTTTTGACTGGCTCCCACAGCACATTCATGTACTTCCATTATAGTTACCTTTCTTCAAAAACATGCCTGCAGATCCACAGAGAAAGACATCACCTTGGTTGTAAATTTGAGGTGCAGGCTGAACAGAGTTCTACCTGAGTGCATAAGGCCTGAGTCCTTACACCACCTAGAAAGCCCACCTGTATTGGTTTGTGACAACATAACACTGTTAGCTCCCTAGTTCAGCAAGTGGCTTTGTTGTGTCTGGATGAAGGGCACTAAGGGGCTGCAACAGCCCTCTCAAATGGCCTAATGCAAACAAACCACAGTTCTCTCCCTAAAAGGATTCTTTACATGTGAATGTAAAATCACAAAATTGCATTAAAAATGCTCAATTGGTTGCAACCATCCTTTCCCGCCATGTCCCCTCCCCTTTCAGCCCTATTTACAGGAGAAAACAAAGCTGAAGTTCACCATTGCCATGACCAACACTCAATACTGATTGCTCCTTATGCTAAAATAAGACATACCCAAAGGAAAATCTCTGTGCTTATCATGTTTCTTCTCAGGCATGGATGTAAACCATTGCCTATGTGGACTTAATGTGGAAAAAGGGCAGGTGGAGTAGAAAGGCACCCAGGGAGCTGCTGCTTTGAAAGTCACTCCTTGTAGCTCAGAAGTTGGGTCCTACATAGACTGCTCATCAGGGACTTGGGAGACACTTGGGGATGGCATGGTTCCCTGGCATTGGGTAAACATATGCTGAATGGCTGCCAGGCACTGGGAATAAAGTGCTGAGCCCCACACATGGCCTTAAGCTCTCTCTCTCTGTCTGAGGCCGAGAGTGTGAAAACTCAACCTCCAAGCTGAGGACATTGTGGGTAGGACAATTTTGGCTTCGGGGCTGTACTGTACCTTGTAATGTTTAGCGGCCTTTCTCACCTCACCTCTACCCCTGGCTCCCAGTAACACACCCCAAATTATCATCAGTCAATGTCTCCTGAGGAGGAAAGATCACCTCCAGAGGAGTAACACTGTGCATGTGTCCCAGTTAGTAAGGAGAGCATCCCAGCCCCCACGGTGCCCAGGAATTCCACATTCCCCTTTCTCCTCTAACTCTACATGGTCACCAACTATGTAACTACACTTACTTTTCCCCTAGGTGCTCATCCTGAAGCAAACACCCTCACCACTCTCCTGTATGTGCCACTAGATTCCCAATCTTCTTCCACAGTTCTGAATTTGTGGTGTTTGTGACTTCCTGAAGATCCTCAATAGAGAGGGACTACATGAGGAAGTAGACAGTCTCTGGGGCTGGGCCAATGCCAGGGGCTACTGTGACCAGAGCTGGCAGTACCCACTTCTGTGAGCTGAGGGCCATCTAAGGGGTTCTCTGTCCAGGCCCATGCCCAGCTGAGGTACAGGGTCCTAACTTACCTATTTAATCTAAATTTCCTAAATTGGGAAGGGGAGCTTCTCCTTCAATTAACTAATTGTATCCTAAACTAAAATACATAAAAAAAATACTTTACCCTCAAGTTCATAACACCAAACACATAAGGCTTGGAACAGCATGCTTTATAAAAATGATTCTGAGTCTTGGAGGTGTATACCTTGGGTGTTGGGGTGCTTATCTAACATGTATGAAGCCCTGGGTCTGATGTCTAGCAGGGCACAAACTGGGTGTGGTAGTGAATGCATGTAATGCACTCTATAGAGGCAGGAAGGGTTCAAGGGCTAGCCTTGGTAGTGTAAATCTAGAGTAAATGAGATCCTATTTTCAAAAATATTTCCATAAAATTATATGTAATTCTTTGAACACGTTCCTTTAGACTGAGTCACACATGACTTCTATATTTTTGCATTAGTTATTAAGGTGTGTTTCATGGAACAGTCTTCCCACAAGTTCCTAAGAAAAAGCTACCTTGTTTAAACACATGTGGCAAATTCCATCTCCTCTTGGAGAAGCAAGTGTGTATTCATATGTTAAAGGCACAGAGGAATGGGGGGGGGTGAAAACAGGATTCTAAGAGATACACTGGCTGTTTTCTATGAGAACCCTATCACCCTCCTGTGCTGGGGGGCTCTGTCATGAACACTTGTCCCCTGAGGACTGTCCTGACTTGGAGTCTCTATCCATGGCTTTGTGGGAAGCAGAATATACCACCACCAGATTCTTGTGTTCCTTGGTCCCCTGAGAATGGGGCATTCAGGAAGAGAATCAGATGCTCACATTTGAGCTTGGAATTGAGGCTGCCACGGGGAAAGGACAATGACAGGGAGCCTCTCTGTAGTAGTGTCCAGATGCAGAATGGTGCTCGGGCCCATCATGGATGCGACAGTGTTATCAGGAGTGTCCTCCTGTGCTTGATCTTGGCTCTGGTCTCTTCTTCACAGTCCGCCTTACTTACTCCATGACTGTCCTCCAGGTTTGGTTCTGCAGAGTTAACTTTCCAATGGAACTATGAGATGCTTGGTTTCTTTTTAGAAAAAGTATCTTGTTTATATTACAATGCCTATTTATACATCCATTATGAATGCTTGTGATTTTCATAAATATTTTAGTTTCCCCTTTAGAACCATGAGAACTTCAAGATTAGATGGTACCGAGATGTCTGCCTCTCCATAAGAAACACGGAACCCCCACCTTTCTGTAACAACGACCCCACTGGGGGGCCGATAAGAAGTCTGGACAGTTTCAGCCATACGTCACCTCCTTTTCCAGTTTCCTAGGGACTGTGTGGCCAGATGAGAAATCTTATCCTGACTGTTCTATTCTCACACTTGTGGCTGTCACCAACAGATCTGTTCAAAGATTTGAGCACTAATACTGAAGAATATTCTCTCTGCCTTCTCCACTTCCCATTGTCAGGCTACACTATTCCATCAGTGGGTGATCTCTTTCTTAAAACAGTATTTTTTAAAAAGTACTTACTCTTTCAGGATTTCTATCACACATGGTTCTTTGATGAAAGTCCCTCCTATTATCCTCTTTTACCTTCCCCTCCCACTGAACCACCTCTTCTCAAGTCTCCTCTTACTTTTGTGCCATTGACTGGTTGATTGAGTGATTGTTTATGTGGTTGTATGCATGTAAGTCACACAAGTGTGGTGGTCAGAGGACAACTTGTACTAAGTTTGCTTCTTTCTTTCCACCCATGAAGGTTCTGAGGCTCAAACTCAGGTTTCTAGGCACAGTGGCAAGTGCTCTTACCTGCTGAGCCATTGTAGCACCTTTTTTTTTTTTTTTTTTTTTTTTTTGTGGCCTACTGCCTTTAATTAGGGTTGCCTGCATACACATATATAACATGGTAGTGTGGTGGGGGACTAGAGGGGAAACACCTCCCTGAAACTTTCCTTCTCTTTGGCTCCCTCAGTCTCTTTACTTTTCTTAGACTCTGCACTCTGGGGAAAGCATTCCTGACCCATTTACAGGTGTCATGTTCACCCTGAGATCCGTAACAATAGGTCCCTTGATGGGGGATGTCCACTGTATGCTGTGACTAGGTGTTTCTCTTATTGGTTGATGAATAAGGCTATTTTGGCCAATGGACAGAATTTGCTAAGCAGGAATTCCGAACACAGAGGCCGGGAGAAGGAAGACAGAAACACAGATGCCATGTAGCTGCCAGGGAAGCTGGGTGCCAGGGCATCACCTACGTAAACCAAGGCAACGAGGTGATACACAGATTAGCAGAAATGGGATACTAATTAATAGAGAGCTAGCCAACAAGACGCCTAAGTCATTGGCCAAACAATCACAAATATATGTTAAATCTCTGAGTGGTTATTTCATAGCTGCTGTGAGGACCCGCTGGGCAGAGAGAAACTGGCCCAGTGGGACCGAGATAGATAAAGTTTCCTTTCTACAGCCCTTGCTCAGGTTTTGGAGACAAAGTACACAAGGATAGACCGTTCTCCTTTGGCCATGTCGGGTATTTGGCCTAACACTTTCTTATGCTGTAAAGTATCTTCCTTTACTCTCGATAGCACTTGTCTGACATCAAAAGTCAGGAAACTTGGCATCAAAGGTACTAATGGTCTTAAATTTGCCTAAGCATGTCCTAAAAAGTATAACTAGCCACCAGCTATTTAAAACTTGTAACTTTCTGAATCTGAAAAAAAAATGAAGTGTGGAGAGTCTCCACCCAACTGCCATCTGATTATAAATAACAATATAATAATAATTATTATTGTATAATATTTGTTTAACCATGTAAAGATATGTTACATTTGCCTATGCTACATTCATTTAACTATGTAAAGATGTGTGGCATTTGTTTTACTTTGCCTTCCTAAGGCACTTGATTGGTCTAATAAAAAGATTCACAGCCAACAGGGATAGGCGGGGCTGGCAGGCAGAGAGAATAAGTAGGAGGAGGAATCTAGGCTTGGGAGAGAGAAAAAGAGAAAGAGAGGGAGACACCAGGAGCCAGCCAGCAGACATGGAGTAGGCCATACAGAGGGAAAGAAAGGTAAAAAGTCCCGAGGCTAAACACAGATGAAGAGAAACAGGTTAGAATATGTTATAAGAACTAGTGGGACAAAATTAAACTAAGGCCGGGCATTCATAACTAATAAAAAGTCTCTTTGTTGTGTTTTGGAGCTGATGGTTCGAAAAAGCTACCACTAGTTTGGGTGAGCTATCTCTCTGGTTTCCCCAATCATAATCTTGACCCCCACTTGTTCATATGATCCCTCCTCCCTCTCTTCAACTAAGCTCCAGGACCTTAGCCCAGCATACCACAAAGACATAGAAGCTAGGTAAAAAGGGGGACCCTAAAAGGAACACACAAGGGGGGCCCCAGGAAGGTGAAATAGTAAGATCCCCTGGGTAAAATGGGAGGGTGGAAGAAGGGAGGGGAAGGGGATGGAAACCTGAGGGCTCAAGATGGCCAAGTTGGGGGAGGGATGGGGAAGGGAAGCAATGAGAGATGATGGAGGGAGCCATTATGGGGTTGGGGAGGAACCAGGTGCTGGGGAAATTCCCAGGAATCCACAAAGATGACTCCAAATAAGACTGCTAGCAATAGGGGAGATGGTGCCTAAACTGGCCTTCCTCTATAATCAGATTAGTAACTAGTCTATTGGTCATCATGGAACCTACATCCAGTAACTGATGGAAGCAGATGCAGTGACCCACAGCCTACTGTGACTTTATAAGCTCATACTGATGGATTTTTCACCTGCTGCCACAGGCTCTGCACACTGCTTTTATGTGTGAATCTTAGCATTCTAAAAAAGCAACATGAGCTTTCTTCTCTTCCCAACTTCCTGGCATCCTTTTAATATCCATGCTGTCCAAATGTAAGTGAAGAAAATACATACTTTGGGATGCACTGGAAGAAAGCAGCAGTACCCACTCTCCATTCTCTCCAAGACTGGATTTCAACTCTCCCCTCTCACATATACACTACCCTCATTTGGTGGCTCATCAGACTAGCATGGTATTTTCCCTTTGTCCTCCTATTTCATATTTTAATCCAGGAAACTATTCTTTTTATTTCTTATCTCAGTGAAGTTACATTTTCCTCAACTGTTGCAAGTTATGGTTCATTTTTAAGTATGGATGCTGGAAGAAGACTCCGAGGAGCCCTAGGGTTGCATTATGGAGTCAGGCCTTTCATTCTGAATTGTCTTTTTAAGATATACATGCAGATTGCAATTATTCTTTTCTTACTGCATAACAAAAAAGAATTTATGAATAATTCATAATTCCATCAGTTTACAAAGGTTATTCTTGGTAAAAAGAAAAATTTGCCAAGCTTTCTAAGTACTCAAGACCACCTCCTCAAACAAAAGTCAGCTCTATCAGCACTAATAATGAGTTTAAATGCTTTAACTGTGATATGTGTGCAGAACATGGGGAAGAGAATAAAGAGGACATTTGTTGAGTAACTATTTATGGGTTAGGAAGCATGCTGATGCCTATGTGTTCATATAATCACCATGATAATTTGTGAGATGAGAATCTGATAATAATCAGGGCTTTGGTTAATTATCAAGATCACAGGGGATGAGGCTCAGCCAGGAGAATGCTTAGCGTGGACTCCCCATCCACCAATTTTCCCTGTGTCATACACCCCAAGCTCAGCATAACCAAGGACAGATTTACTCACGTTGTTGTTGGTCACGGCGAAGTACTGCAGATTGGTCAGGTACTGGATCTCATCTGGAATGAAGGTCAGATGGTTATCACTCAGATCCAGGTAGTGTAGCTTGGTGCATAGGAAGAGCTGCAAGGGCAGACTCTCAATGTTATTGTGGCTCAGGAAGAGCTGCTCTAGGTTGGACAGCGTTCCAATCTGGGCAGGGATGTAAGCGATGTTGTTGTGCCAAAGCTTCAAGCAGGAAAGGCTCGGAAGGTGCTGGAAGCTGATGATCTCCTCCACCGTTTTTAGGTTATTTTCCTTCAGATCCAGCTCATGCAGGTTGTTCAGACTGAAGATGGAGTGTGGGATGCGTTCCAGATCACAGCTGAGAAGCTCCAGGCTTTTCAGGTTGATCATTTTTTTCAAATTGTTCAGCACAACCAGTTTGCTTCCCTCATTATCCAAGGACAGCTTCTGTAAGGAGGGAAGCAGGTCCGTCACCACCTGGGGGATCCGGGACAGGTTGCTCTTCAAGTAGAGGGTCGTCAGGTTCTTCAAGTCTTGAAAGCCCTCCATCTGCGTGGTGCCCAGCTGCTCAGGGAGAACACAGCCTGATAGGTATAGTTCCTTGAGGTTCTTCAGGTAGAACACCCAGCGCGGGATCTTTCCCATTTCAGTAAACTTTAGGCGGAGGGTCTTTAAGTTCCCCTCTAGAAAGGCCAGGGCAGGATGGTCCACTACCAGAGATGAATGGTACACATGAAGCTCCTTGAGGTTGACAAGCTGAGAGATGGAGGCAGGCAGCTTGACCTCAGGGATGAGCTCCAGGCTCAGCACTTCCACCTCTGTCAACTCAAAGATATTATCCGGGAGACCGCTGAGCATGAACAGGTGCAGCTCTACCTTGTCCTGGGAGTTCCTCACAAGCTTGCTTTTCAGTTTCTCGACAGTCCACTCATTGTTGAGGTTGATCTGCTTCAGTTTGTTCTCACTCACCTCTGACAGGAAGATGGAGAAGCGCTTGGAATACAGGGGGTCGTACTGGTCGGCCAGATGGAGGATGAAGGCAAAATCATTCTTGACGTCGGGGATGTCGCTATAGTTGCTTTTCTCTCTGAGAGCCTCAAAGGAGTACTGCTTCAAGGAACTCCTCAGCATCCACCACAGGCTATAGGAAGAGGTGAGGCCGTAAAGTATCACCAACACGACATAAAAGGATGCCAGGACCTTAAAGATTTCTGCCAAGGTGTAGACACACTGGTAGCGCTTGTAGCCTGTGAATGCCTGTACATCAATCAAGCAGTCAATTTCCAGAGTTATGTAGCTTAAAAAATAGGGGACATAAGTTATGATGAGGACAAAAAAAATGACTTTGACTATTATCTGCCTCAGGTACACCCGATAAATAATGTCCCTTTGTTCTACATGCAGGCGGAACCTTTTTACTTTCTCAAAGATGGCTTTGGCCTGCTCACCCTCCTTCTTGTCCAGGACACTAGAAGTGGGGCTTTCTATGCCAGGAGACTCCAAGCCTGGCTGTGGGTAGGGCAATGCCTGCTTGTTGGCATCAGTGTCGGCAGAACACGAGGTTGATAGCAATGTTTTGGACTTAGAGGGTTTCAGGGGCCTCACTGACTGCTCGGCCACTGTTTCTGACAGGGCCCGTGTGGTCCACGGAGAATCGAAGCACTTCTGAAGTATGGCCACAAAATGCTCCAGCCTGGAGCTGGTGCTGGGGTAGTGAAGCCAGAAGTTGCTGCAGGCTGCAAAGATAAGCGTGTGCAGAAGCACCAGGTAGGGGAAAAACTTGGCAAACCAGTGGAGCTGTCTCTCATAACAGACAGCATCGATATAGGAGTACTGCTGTCGATGGAGGTCATTCTGGATCCGGAGCGGCAGTGGCAGCGGCATGGCCGTGTTAGAGGACATGTTCCTGCTGGCTTTCAGGAGATCCCAAGGCACAGCACAGTGATTGTCAAACTCCACCTTGCATGGAAGACAGCACAGAACCCTGCTCTGGGTAAGCTGCAGAGCTCCAGCCAGCACAGCCACTAACAGCATGACGAGGGTGATGTAATACCAGAAGACATCCCACCATGGCTTCAGTATGTGGTAGGTTGACTGGGCATCTGCTAAGTACTTTAACTCTGTGAGTGTAATCATGACTCCCTTGTAGAGAACAGAAACTGGAGGAGGGAACAAAAGAAACCCTGCTGAAACCAACACACCTTTCTGTTTGTTTGTGTTTGTGTAGCTCAGGCTGGCTTCATACTCACTATGTAGCTAGGGGCTTCTCTTTAAGCTCCCAAGCTTCCTGTTTCTACCTTCCGATTGCTGGGGTTACACATATGCACCACCACATGGGGCCACAGTACATGCCCATTTTGAACACACTGACTTATCTACCTGGCAGCATTTTAGCAGCGAGGTAAGACTCAGATGGAAGGACTGATCAGTGGACATGTGAGGGTTAAATCACAGTGAATTGTAAAGCTTGGGGACCATTTGGTGATATCTATGAAAGGCATTTGGGGCAGCTTTGAGGCAGTTCTTCAGTTACTGCCTTGATTTTAACTCCAAGGCTGGGTTAGCTGTTCCTACACTGTGTGTCTTACCCTCTAAAACCCCAAATAAGCTATTTCTAGGCAGACCCCATGTCTGGAGTGTTGTTTACCAGCTATGAGTTATTTCAACTACCATAAGGAGGCTTTTTATCAGCAATCTCTGCTTCCTAAACATATCCCTTGGACTCCACCCATTCCTTACAAAGCAAATGGCAACATGAATGTCCCTTCCCTCCAGGCCTTTACTATGTAACTTAAGTACAAGACTGTGTGAATTCTTTTGAGCATTAAAAGTGGAGAAACACTTTCTGCTTCCTCTCTTTACGCAGCTCTCTCTCTGCTCACTCCTTCTCTGTTCTTCTCTTCTCCCACCTATGCGTTCTCTCTGTCTCTCTATGGCAACTGGCCATGGTGGTCAGCCATTACCCCTGTTCCTCTTCTCTCTTAGTTTCCCTACTCTGCCGGGCCATATAATAAACTAGTTAATATGTCTCATCTTGCAGCTTTCTCTTTTTCCTCTTTTTAAATAAAAACATAACATTGGCGCCCCACTTGGTTGGTTTAGGCTCCCTCCGTAAACTCTCTCGATGCTTGCTGGTGGGATAGGCTTTCTCTCTAACCTCTCCTGCCAGGGGCACAGGAAATTTCAGGGATCCTAAAATCTGAACTCATAACCCACTTCCATCTTGGCTTTTCCTGGCACTTCCTCCTGTTTGCAGCAGCCTGAGATGCTGGAACTCTGTACACTTCAACTCGCCACTTTTCAAACTAAGGTTCCCTGGAACTCACTCATCTGCCTGTTCGCTGCAATCCGGTAAGATATCCCTTTTCCCATGGGGCAGACCCAGCACTCCATTTTGGAGTTCACTGCCTTTTGGTCTACTGGGTACATTTTTTCACTTTCGGACTGCTGAGCCTCTTTCGGGCTTTCTGCTGGGTGCTCTCAGACAGAGCAATCTGTGCCATTTTTGGCCTCGCCCACTGGAAATACATTTTACGGGATCTTTTGGTTACTGCCTGTGAGTATGTAAATGAGCAGAGTTCTACCTCCCAGAGGGAAATTTCTCTCACCTGGGAATGTCTCTCATCTTCTGTTCTATCTCTGACCATGTTTCTTCTTGGTTAGCAGTGTCTGCTTGAGACGCTCTGAGAGTTTTGTTTGTTTGTTTCTCACTGCCTCACTCACGGAGAAAAACTTCTTCCAGTAGTTGAGAATGTGTTTACAGGGCCGCCATCTTGGCAATGTGGTCTGAGCTGCCATCCTGACCACGTTACCTAGCTTAGGCCTGCCCACTCAGTTCAGTGACTTGCACAGGCAAGTACCTCCGCCAGAATTTCTTTTTTCTCTTGTTAGGTGCATCTCCCATAGGTCAGGCTTGGGATCCCGCTCCAGGAGCAGTGCTTTTTTTGCTTTTTGCTTTTTCAGTTCGGACGGCTGGGTCCTTTTTTGGTTTCGGGGACAGCTTTGTCCCCTTTGGGGCCAGGGCCCTGGCAACTCCCATGAGCCAATGGGCATCCGGAGAGGAGCTTTTTGCCGGTTTTCCACTTGCCTCACCCATGGGAAATGCATAGAGGAACCTTTCTGGTTTCATCCAACAAGCAGGTAAACAGACAAAAAAGTGGCTTATGGTCGCCGCCATCTTGGCCATGTGGGTTAACCTGGGGGCCGCCATCTTGGTCATGTTACCTACCTGTAGGTACGCCCACTCCAACAGCCTGTACCAGCAAACCTATCTGCTGGACTTTTGATTTCTGTCAGATTCTTTTTTGCTTTTTATTTTTTTATCCATGATTTCTTCTTTCACTGGCTCTGTTGCTCATGGCTTGTTTACTAAATACTGTGTCTTTCTAGGGCCCCCTGTTTAAGTCTACTCTGTCCCTTTAAATCTCCTGTCTGTTGGCTACCATGTACGGATTAGAGATTACATTCTGGTTCCCCCTTTTACTGTTATCCAGTCCTGCTTGTCTCTGTACCTCTAATTTAGCTTTATATTTATCTAGCTCTATATGTAACTCAAACTATGCTAAGTCTCATATTTCTAAATTGCTATGTATCTTTAAATGATGGTAAACATTTAAAGTCATAAAGGTCTAATTTAACTATACTTAAAATATAAGCTAAGTCTATAACTTAAATTTAACTCATGCATCTTTAAATGATGAAAGTTTAAAATCACAAAGGTCTATTTCAAACTAACAAAATATTTATACCACTCAGTCCATCCTGTAAGCCATTTATAAAGGTACAGCTTTTTATTACAAAAGTGGATTTTTCTCTAACTAAAGGCAAACTTTTGACTGCTGAGATACTAAACAGACAGACAGCCCTCAAATGCTCAGAGATCTAGAGAATACGGCACTTAAAATGTTTTCTTAAAAAGATTTTTATAACAGAGAGATAGGCCAGCTGCTGGCTCCATCTCATTTCCTCCAAGAAGACTGATGGGCACTGAAGAAACTTCATCTCAAGTCAGTGACAACGCTAGTTACTGAGCAACTCTGCCTTTCACCTCAACTGCTACAAGGCACTCCAGACCATGGACAAGATGACAGTGGATCTACTTTCCCCGAGTTGCTTGGGCCAACGGTAGGCGAGTCTTCCTATAGTCACAGTCACATAGTCCATGTCTATGTGCTATCAGCAAGAAGGCAGGTGTCCTGCAGCCCTCTACTATGGATGGAGGACCTTAGGGGCGGCTGTTATTCTTTAATCTTTGATTCAGATAAAATATTATCCTTCTCAAGAACTCTGATGTTTTTGACGACTGGTAGTCTTGCTAGCTTAAAGCAAAACAGATTTCAGGAACAGGTATTTTCGGATTTATCTATGTAAAGGTAGGAAAGTGTAAGTTATGAAGGTCTGGGAATGTAGTTATGAAGGTCTGAGGATGGAAAGGTCTAACATGGTGGATAAATGCAAGTTATGAAGGTCTGGGAATGTAGTTACGAAGGTCTGAGGATGGAAAGGTCTAACACGGTGGATAAATGCAAGTTATGAAGGTCTGAGAATGGAAGGTATAAAGGTCTGAAAATGGAAGGTCTAAGATGGTAATATAATGCGTATAAATTAAAGTTATAAAGGTCTGAGGATAAAAAGGCTTAAGTGATGATAAAGTGAGTTGAGACATTAAAAAGAATGAAATATGTTCCTGATTTCTCTATTTCTCATGCTACTGTTCATAGTCAGTTCTACAATACCACTGTATGATCATAACTCCTAGGTCAAAATTAAGATGCTTTTCATTGTCCTAAAAAAAAAATGTCAATTTTAAAATGGTAATGCTTTCAGTCAAGTTGCTTCTAACAAGAATATGCTGCTAATGTGTCTAATACTTATGTTTCCACAAACTCTAAGGATTCTTGTAAGTTCCAGGGAGCTGAATTGGATCCAAACAAACAGGTCTAAGAGGCACCAGGGAGTTCTGTACAGCCTGGACTGCAATGAAACAACCAGCTACCCCAGGATGTGGCAGCATCTCAACCTTCTTGGGTCTCCCAAAGATGGCCAACGCCCCCCAGGTCAGCAGGAAGCAGTCTTGAGAATTTGACGCCCTTATCCCTTAACCTGCCATGTCTAACACCCCACCTTTTACAATAATAAGTAGAGGTGGGAATGAAAGGTTCAGGCTTTGATGCTGATTGGCTCTACCTCTTTAAGAGACAGCCCCTGCCCCCTGACAACAGTCAGGGCACACACAAGAAAACGTGCTACATCATCACCGCATCACCCGCCACGCATGAGGACTCTGGGCATGCGTGGAACCTCAGTGCCCATGAGCAGTCTTCCCTTTAAATGCTCCAACTTTCCTGCTTCACTCTCTCTCTGCTTCCTCTCTTTACACTGCTCTCTCTCTGCTCATTCCTTCTCTGCTCTTCTCTTCTCCCCCCACGCGCTCTCTCTGCCTCTCTATGGTGACTGGCCATGGCAGTCAGCCATTACCCCTGTTCCTCTTCTCTCTTAGTCTCCCTACTCTGCCGGGCCTTATAATAAACTAGTTAACATGTAAAAAAAAATTGAGAAACAACAGTAATGTTTTAAAAAGGGAGTGGTGGAGAGAAGCACTGAAGAGAACAAGGGAACTTCGTGTGACAGTGCAGAGCTAAGGGGACACATGATAATGGTGCCCCCCTTTGTTGGTTATTCCTACTTCAAAAATAAGGTGTAAAGAGATAATATTTTAAAATAAGTTATCTCATCAGTGATGTTTTCTAAGAACCCCCTTCTGTTGTGTTCATAATGTTGGGACTTAAGAGGAGAATTTTCTGTTTAGCTCACGTAATCCTTTTGGGATTAGGATGCTGGGCAAGGTTATGTCACCTTGATACAAATTATGGTTGACTACAGTGAGGGAAAGGTAGGATAAGTAAGGGTCAGAACCTTAAAGGGTCAAATTCTCAAAAACTAACCAGCAACATCCAAACTGCTTATACGATGGCAGTCACACACAGGGAAACAGTTGGATCTTACAAAGTGTTTGCAGGGCAACAACTGTGGTAGTCTAAATGCAATTTGCCTCCATAATCTCATAGGGAATGGCACTATTAGGAGGTGTGGCTTTTGTTGAGTGGGGATGGGGTTTGAAGTTTCCAACGCTCACAATACCTCCCAGTGTCTCAGTCGACTTTCTGTTGCCTGCAAGATGTAGGACTCTCAGCTACTACTTCAGCACAATGTCTGCCTGCATGCTGCCTGAACTTTAAGTCAGCCCCCAATACATGTTTTCCTTTATAAGAGTTGCTGTGGTCATGGTGTCTCTTCATAGCAATAGAAACCCTAACTAGGACAACAAAAAGTCATGGTAGCTGGCAGGGCAGACCTACCCTTGCCTTCTTGGGTATTAAGTTATCACCTTTCCTGAGTTGGGTAACTCTCTGGGTACCATTTCACCAGTGTTATCTTGATTCTCCTAGTCCTAGAGAAACGTGTACTCAACCTTGAGTCCCAGGAGTGCTCAATCTGAGCCTGTCCCAGGAGCCTGTTCCGGAGGCTGGCATCCTTGACATGTCCTGCCCATCTGAGTGCATATTCTTGCTTGCTCTCCCACTTGTTAAGACACCCTTGATGCCTTATTTCACCTACTGGGATGAGGCTCACTTTTTATTTGTATTCTGTCTTGGAATAGAATCTGAAAAGTATTCAACTTCTTCCACAGATCTATGGCTAGACTACAGCATTCACCAGGATTTTCCTCCTTTACTCAGTGTTAGTAGATCTGATACTTAATTCTTCTCATTATGTCTTACTCTCACTGTAGTTAACTATAATTTTGTGTCAAAGCAAAATAACCCTGCTGTGATCCCAATCTCAAGAATTAGATGAGACTAATAGAATGTTCTGGTTAAAAAAATACCACGAACACAATAGAAAAAGTTCATAGAGAACATTGCTGGATGAAATAACATAAAAAGAATAACTTCATGAATTTTAACCAAGTGTGCTCAGCCATATGATGTAATACTGACCTGACCTTTGACCCTATTAACAGTGATCCCAGACAAATGGGGCAGCAATTTTGTTCCTATTTAGTGAGCTCATGCTGAAACGTAACACTCAATTAAAGACAAAACGGGCAGGAGTGGCTACCTGAAACCATCCACTATGGAGGAACTCGATGCAGGGATAATAGCAGGGATAGAAGGGAACATTTGTGTCACACTAGAACCTGATAAGACCAGTGGCCACCATGGATCAGAGACTGCTCTGGTGTGTAGTCATGGCAATAAAAAACACAACATGGTACTGTGATGGCTAGGCCTATGATGAGGTAATGGAGCTGTTAACATTACCTCCTGGGAAGATAAGGACTGTGTCACCAGACCCCCAGTTGAGAGTCTACCTCCTGCTCCCACTGTGCTCCTTCCTGGATCTGCACACAGTGCTTCAGGCGCTGGTACAAGGAGTGGAAAGATGATGGGGGAGTTGGAAGGGGCAAATGGAGAATTAGGGGGTTGTAGGAATTTTTTTCAGTATTGGAGTTTTTGTGATCTGCTGCCTCTCCTCCTGGCAGTAACCCCAAATACACTCCATGGTTTATCAAGCAGGGCTGGATGGAATCAATTTTTTTGATCTGTTGGTACCTCATCTGAAGTGAATAGATATTTAAGAAGTGGCAAAATGTACCTCATGGATAACAGCATGCGTGGATTTGTTTCAGAGGCAGAACTATATGAGTAAAAGGTTTATAAAGAAAGACATATTTTAGGAAGGGGGTTCTTATGTAGTCCAGGCTGGCTTAAATTTGATATATAGTTAAGGCTAGCCTTGAATTCCTGGTGGAATTATAGGTACATGCTACCATGTAAGGCCAGTCATCTGATTTCGTGTGTTGGTGGAACATCACATAAGTGTATGCTCTTTAAACAGTTCAGCTCTCTACCCTAGCTGGGTCTCCATGGATAAAATGACTGTCCACTAGGCACCTTGCAAATTTCTTGTAATGGAAAGTAAGAGTGAATCATATCATCTCTAAGGATTTTTGAAGCCTGAGTTTATGAACTTATTCATTCCCTACAGTTCTTGAAAGTTATGGTCATCTAATATCTCAAACTGATATTGGGGAGAAATAGCAGCTCAAGCAACAATCAAAGTATTTGATAGGGAGTAGAGATTGCTCAACGAAGACTACAAGCCAACACTGACCTAAACAACAGCACTGTATGTATTTACTTACTATCATGAAGAAATGAATCAGCTTAACCACGCTTCAATCAGGAGGTCTGCACCTTTTGAAGTTTCTTAGACAGACCATCTCTGAGTTTGTCTTCATTCTATGAGGAAGCAGAAATATCTTGGAGATATTGTTTTCCAAGACCCTTTCCATCAAATATCACACAAAGACATATTTCACAGGTGAGTTCACTCCCACCTTTGCCAGTTCATCCTGGCAAAGCTCTATAGACAGGATGCCACCTACACGCCTCAGACTATCCATATCCCTGGACTTCCTTTTTATCATAGAGAAATTTCTGCCAAAATTTCAGCATGCTATATTTAAAAGTTCTCTATAAAACTTAGCCTTTCCCAAGTATTTTACATATGTTACTCTCTCTTGTCCCGCCTCATATGCAATTATTTGCATTTGTCAGGTGGCTTACTGAAACATGAAATTTCTATTCCAACTTATAACCATGTATCTGCTCAAATAAGAACTCACAGTGTTCAGAAAAAATTAGCCTACTAAGTTCATCTATCACAAGGCAAAAACATCATTTTTACATAGGGCTTAGAAGTACAGCTGTATTTCCCTGAAGTGATATCATTTGAAATAGTCAGCCTTTGTGTTAATTCTATTTTACCTTGCAGTTGGTAAAAGCCATTCTCAGCACCTACTTGAAATAAAAGTGAGGTAAACACTGGGTCTTCATGTGTTATAAAAGTGCAAAACAAGACTGTCCCAACCAAAAACTCCCCTTGCCCAGTGTAACAAAACTGTCAGGGAAAAACAATTACAACTGGAACTCAGACTATAAGCCTTGTCCACAGATCACATGACCTCAGCAAATCTAATTAATTATGCCACGTCTCAGTTTTCTTAAAAGCTCAAGAAAAGGCTATTTAGCTCTTTGCCAGCTCTCTGCCTGGCATCTGCATCAGGACTGAAGTTTTATTATAGTACCAGAAACAAGGGTCCCAGTGTTGTTTTCTGTGACTTTTCCAGTTACACAGTCACATACCACATAACACGAATTCACAGCTAAAGTTTCCCCACTAAATGCTTTCTGTTGAACTGACTTCACCCTTAAATCCTGCATCAGGGTTTACAGATACATGAAAAGTCTCAAGCCCTCCTGTATCCAATGCTGATTTCTCTAATTGATGTGCTTAGGGTTGGAGCCATTACGCCAGTGAATACTGTTTGTGCCCTAAACCTTTTCCAGACCACATATTAGCAAACAATGAAGAGGATTCAGTCCAAATGAGATCTCCAATCCTAACACACAAATGCACTAAATCACTTCAAAGACATAACGCGAAGAGTAATGGATTTTATGGTCCCAATCCCATTCCTTCAGCTTTTAAATCTCATTAAAAAGTCATCAAAGCTCTTCAAAGCATATGAATTCATCAGACAACCTCATCCCAATGTATTCAAGACTGGAACAACAATACTCAAGTTAGGCAGCTAGATTTCCCAGCAGTCCCTCTTTTACTTTGAAATCACTTCCAAAATAACTAGTGAAAACAAACAAGCAATGATCAGATGGTATTCAGTCATTATGTGCTGAGAACTTGATGCTACTTCAAAGAGCAGGGTTTCTGATCTCAGACACACAACTGAAAGCAAGGGTTGCCTCCACAGAATTCTACCATGGCATGCTGGGTCATCACAGGTCCAAAGCAGGGGGGGCACCGAGCGGGGACTGAAACCTCTAGGAACATGACCCCAGATTTTGTTGATGATATCCTAAGTATTTTGTCACAGTAACAGAAAGTTAATAAACGCAGTCAATGGAGTTAAAATTAATTACCACCTCATAAGATCAGACAGAAATTCAGAAAGAAATGAGTCAGATGAATCTAGATTTCTGTTTTCTGACATTATAGGATCTTATGGTCTTAACAGGTTAAGATGCAACACATATTTATACGACAAACTGAACATACATAAATGAAAAACGCAGGAAAAGTATTCAGATGTTTGTTCAGGGCATATGCAGGGGAACGGAGCCTGTGAGATGGCCTGAGCAGGCAGCAGAGTAAGAACCCAGGAGCATAAGGGTGGAAGGGCTTTAGCTAACTGTTCTTTACTCTGTATCTTGATGGCCCAAATCCCATGGAGGTTTACTTATTGAGATTTTATAGGTCTTTCTATAACAGTTTTGGCTAGCCCAAAATGTCCTCATATACTAGTAAAGCAGCTCGTGCCAACTCTTGTTTAAACAAAGGACTTATGGGGAAGTCTGAGGCTAGCCCAGGAGGAGGGGAAAGGGAGCAGGCTGTACTTTTCTGTAGCAATAAATTCTCAGCTATGCTCCAGCAATCTCCTAGTCATAAATGGAGGAGGCACTGCCTTAATTTACTTTCAAGTTTCTACTGAGGGTCTTACATATGAGCCCTTACTTTTATTTTTACTGTGAAATCAGGTATTTCTGACAGTGTCAGAATATGATGTTTGCAACCTGAGGTCATTTCTTTTTTAAGCCCTTTTGTGAGGTGCAGAATCGAGGGATAAAAAAAAAAAAATCATTTTATTTAGGATCCTAGACAATTTCAGGCAGGAAATATTTCCTCTAAATCCTGCTTAAAACCTGAACATTCCTTAATCTATATCCCCCCCCCCCCCCCCCCCCCCCTTCAGGTCTTCTG